TTTTGCTTTATATTGCTATCTTGAGGAACTTCAGAACGTATTTTTAAAAATGTTTGCTCGGTAAAATTTCAAGTTAGTTATTCCCTTGATGATGGCTTAATTAGAGTCTTTTGTTTACATAAATATGACGTCTTTGCCGCAAAGTTAAATACGAAACCATTGCAATTTGCAGTGTTTTGTCACGACTATGTGGTTAGTTTTATATTTGCTCGCGGTGCGAGGATAATAATTATATATGAGTACGTCTTCAATTATAATTACATAACGCTTTGAAACACAAGTTCCTTAGTGTTGTTTAACTTATAAATAAAAAAGAGCCGTGATAGCTCAATGCTCGACATTAATTCAATTTACTTGAGCAACCCGAGTTCGATCCTTGGTACCGGCACTAATGAAATTGTTCATTTTAAGTGTTGACTGCTCACGTGCTCAGCGGTAGAGGAAAACATCGTGAGGAAACCTGCAAGTTTTCGAAATATAAATCTTTTTTTTTAAATATGTGAAGTCCGCAAATCTACAGTGGGAACGCGTGAAGGACTATGCCCTGATATCTGCTTTACAGAGGAGGCCTTTGCCCAGCAGTGGAACATTTATAGGCTACCGTTACTTTTAAATAAAAAAATAACTAGAAATCGTGCGTTGTCCCAACTGTTCATGCAAGAATCTAAAAACGATAACGTTTAGAAAATCATTATTGTTGATTTAGTTTCAGATTTAATGTATCGATTTAGTAGTGATCGGTTTTTTCTTCCTATACAATTGTAAAGATTGTTTATGTGGTCTATATTAATTCTAGTTGTTTTATAATGACATGTTCTATACATCAATCAAATAACCTCAGCAATATATACAAACTAGTTTGTAAATAAATTACATGACTTAATTATTATTTCGCAACGGAGTAATCACCCAGAACTTTACCGTGTGCACAGGTGTACTCGTATAAGAAACTAATGGATGCACGTCTTTGTACTGAGGATAAAGTAACGACTTTAATGTGTTGTTTTTCACCTCTACCGTAGGGTCATTATGGCAGTATCTGTTCTATGCACATGTGGCTATCAAAGTTTAAGTTTAAATCTCTTTGAATATTTATACGTAAGCGCTCCTGTGTATTATGTGTGATTCTATAAATGACTTACGAATATTTTCATGGTCAATTCTAAAGAAACACATTTGATCAAACTACTTGGCAATTACGTATTAGCGCCACCACAGCCACAGATTTGGCGGTTTAGGTTAGGTTAGGTTTTGATTTCAAATGAAACACTTTATTTATAATCAAATCATTTTTTATGTGACGTTAACTGAACAAAGAGCGTTTAGGACTTGACGTGGGCGATCTGAAGTTACTATTTTAACGGGACCTATGAATGTCAAACATTATAATTATAGTCTATTAGAGACACACCCTAGCTTCGCACGGGTGTAATGTATTATACATATAAACCTTCCTCTTGAATCACTCTATCTAATAAAAAAACGCATCAAGGTCCATTGCGTAGTTTTTAAAGATCCAAGCATACATAGGGACAGACAGACAGCGGGACGACTTTGTTTTATACTATGTAGTGATGTGTTAAGGAGAGAACATCACCCCTGAAACGTGTCATCATCTATACATATGCGACATTAAGAAAACAATTAGGAGTTCTTTCTCACATCTGTCAAATTGCAGCAACAGTTGCCGTAATTAGATTACCGTAGCGTAGCTTATCAATAGAGCCCCTCACTGGCTGAGCCGGGGCAATAATTACTCGAAAACCGCCGCGCTACAAGCAACGCTTTGGTTTAATTAAGCTGAAACGATATTAGTATGAGATTTGCCGTAATAATTACATTTCTCTGTCGTAAAGGTACTATCACACTAGAGTTACTTTAACGCTTTGTTCTATCGCTACTAAAATACACAAATGCAACTTCTCGCGTCTGAAATCTTAATGCTGTATATAGAGATATTCATTTTCTAGTGACTTAATGGTATTCAAGCAAGCGACCTGGCTATTTACGTTTCAACAGTCATTACCGTAATGAAGCTTTCAATTGTTAATACTCCGTGATTAATCGGGTTGGTGACACAATTGGTGCTGTGGTTAGTGTATCTGTCTCTTGCGTCGTGTGGCGTGGGTTCGATCTGATAATATTTTGTGATGAGTATAGTGTCTGGGTATATAAGTGGCAAAGTCTGGAGCAAAGTGTGCGCATGTATAATAAAATCCCACAATCGGTATTAAGTCTGCCACTAGATGAATTTAAACGCAAAATTAAAAGCGAACTTATGGCTAAGCCATATTATACCATTGCTGAATATCTTGACGACGCCAATGTGTGGGGTTAATGCTGTTGATACTCACGTAAACTAAAATGACATACTTGTTCTATTGTAAACTAATCGCAATTTTTTAATTAAAAAAAGAGCAACTGTTGAGATTCTTGCCGGTTTCTTCTCAACAGAAACTGCTTTCCGAACCTCTAAAAATTTTGACATTTCATAAGAACGCGCAAGCGTCTATGTGAATAAATATATTTTTGATTTTATAAATATCTATTATATCTCTCAATTTATAAAGAAAAAAGTCCTTAAGTTTGGTCATCGCTTACTTATGTCAAAGTACAAGATTTGCTTCACCTGATATATTTATGTATGATTCTTTTTTTGTCCCTTTTAAACTTAACTTAAAACTTTTCTTTTTAAATTTAACAGATTATGTCACCCTCACTGTGTTAACAAGATTACAACAAAAAAAAAACAATAAAAAAGAAATGTTATGTACGATTCTGTTTTCTTTCTTATGAAGACGACTGACATTTTTGAGTGGAGAACTTTTTTGTGGATTACGAAAACTTTTTTCTTCTCTAGGAATCGAACCTACAACTTTGCAAGCAAGGTGAAACTTGAGCCATCGCGCCATACGTAAAGTCAAAGTAATTACACACGACAGCTGATTTCGCAAATATTTACAGATGCCTGATTGATAAAAAATAATTTATAACAGCCAAGTTCGCTTAGAAATGATGCCAGTGAGTTAATGTACGTGATTTTATTGCATTACTGTAGACTACTAGACACAACGAGCAAGGTATATAGTTCTCTTGGAAACGTGTATTATATCGATTGCATCCAAATTACTTCAGGCCGACGTGAAATTGCTCAGCGACGGTTTCTTAATCAAGTGCACGTAGTCGAGATCTCGCAAGGGATTATTTTGATAACGTTAGAACATTGCGTCACCGCGGAAGCATACCACAGCCTTAACTTCGGCATAGGTTGAAAATAAGCTGAAGTTAAAAAGAAAAGTTGAAGACTTAGTTAAAATTTGTAAACGTTTTTGTGTGAATCATTTGAAACAAAGAAATAACTTTATGAGAATTTATGAGATATGTTATTAATAAATTATGAGAAATGTGACAATTCTAGTTCATATTACGAGTACGGTGCCGGCTAAGGGATGGGTAAATTTCAATTTTATGCGCGGATTTATCGTGACATCTAGCGTAATAAAAATGAGGAAACCTGCATGTATGTGGAATGATTGGAAGAATTTTTCGAAGAGAGACGTATTATGGGAAGACTGCATATTCCGCAATTGTATCAACCGCTTAGTAGCTCTACTATTTACTGTACTTTACTGAGCAGTACCATTTAAAAGTAAAAGTAAAGTAACAGCCTATGTCCATGACAGTATATGTCCCAGTGCTGGGCAAAGGCCTCCTCTATACCGAGGGTATCAGGGCATAATTCGCTTGTTTTAAATAAACGAGAACATCCTCATCTTTGACGTTGACTTTGGAATCGCTGTACATTTGAGAGTTGATAGCGTCCAGTTGATTGAGGTGAATTGTGAATTAGTTTTGCATCTTAATCATGAAGCAGAAAATTACTTGACTACTAAAGTTAAAATAGTAACAGCATATATGTTTCCCACTGTCGGGCAGAGGCCTCCTCTGGACGTGGACCACGCGACCTACCCCGTATTGGCGGATTTCACACCGTCATCATCATCATCATGAGCCGTACGTCTTACGGTTACAGCACCATTGTTGAAAATAAATCTCCCCCTTAGAACGCCATAACGGACGACATTTGCCATTTGCATCCACCGGTTGCCCGCGATTTCGCATATGTTCGTAATATTTTTTCGTAATATTTCGGAAATGTGCATGTCTCTTCACGTTGTCTTCCGTAACTACTGAGCACAGCACTTGGAATTTCATTTAACAATTTCATTGGCCGACACCAGGATTTGAAGGCAGGTTAATCGAGTATAGTGATTTAAACGCGAGCGTCGAATACTGAGATATCACGACTCAAAGAATTGGCGACTTGGCTTGGTGACTTAATATTCATTGTAAATAAATAAATGAAACTATAATTAACTATTGAAGAGTTGTTTGAATCCCAATGAAAATTATAAAGTCCTTTTCATTATACATAAATTAAAATTAATAGTTGTGCGAAAAAAACTGCAAAGGGGCTTTTACCTGCAATTTTGTGTCGGGAATTATGCGTTACGTTAAATCAAATGTAGTTAAGCTGCTCCGATAACTAAAACAAAGCCTGGGTGTTAACCGCACGCGGGTAACGATGTGATAAAAATATAGAGTTGTTTATACAAAAAGTCGTTTTTAACTAGGGTTTGTGACGTGAAAGTTTATTACTGCTACTAAAAGGTTCGTGCGGTCGTCCAACATTTTTATGTGTCGCTTCACGGCCTTTTCGCGATAACACTCGATAATTTTTAATTTGTCAACGTAAGATTTGTACCGTGATAGAAAAAACCGTTGAAACGAGTAAAATCAGACTGGAAGCCCGCAAAACGCGAGTGTGACTATCGTGTAAATTGTTCAAAAAACGTAATTAATGAGTTATGCCAAAAAAGCGTTGCTGCATTACATTGAAAATGGCAATGATGCACCCTAGTCTTGTATACTTCGCGAAATAATATCTCAAGCGTATCGAACTCTGTTCAAATATTTTCACTGTAAGAACCCCGTCTCACCTGTACTTTAAATCCATCGCCTCGAAGTTGAACACCGACGAGTAGACGCCAGCAAGGAACACGGGGAACAGTATCAACAGGTAATTGTAAACGTTGAACTTGCCGAACGGTCCCATTATTTGCAATATGTCGTCAACACTCACTTCCTCGTCCCGTTTCTTCTCCGCGTCCATTGTGGTGAGGCCGATTTTTCTGTTTGCTCTATCGATTTATGCGTTGCACCGCACGAGCGGCCGCAAGAATGGTCATCGAGCGACAGTGCGCTGGCGCTCGGCGTTTTATAGTTTTTATTGATGTAAAAATCGCCTTATCAAGGGGAGGCGCGGCGGCCGTTTTTTTAATCTGCATTGCCGCGGTCGCGAATTGCGCGCGAAAGTTCTCCTTTTCGTTATCTGTCATTTGATCTGTCATTGTGACGTTTAGTGATTTGTCAAATGAAAAATGTGCGGGCATTGTATCTATATTTTTATATTATGTATAATGCAACAACTATATTTATGCAACTGGAATCGTAGATTTGAAATATTGAAATGCAATTCCATTAACTCCACGCCGATGAGGGGATTTATGCGGACTTAAAAAAAAAAACAATGCCGCCGTGCCGTTTTCTCACGCTGTTATTCCGAGTCGATGTTAATATTTTTGCGTAAATTACTTCGCTACGTTCTTTTATAGAAGGCAGTGTTGGCTTGGTTGAATTGAGTTTACATTTTCTAATACTAGGAATGAATCAGTTTTCCGTTTTTTAGTTCCTTACTGGCAAAGAGTCTGGAGTACAATATTCAAGGTGACAGCCTCGTCGTCTGTCACTCTGTTTACCCCATTAGGTTCTAGCCAAATCGTATCGCATAGTCAACTTCGTTCTGAATTGAAATTCCAAAAGCCAAACTTTCGAATGTGGTTATCAACCGCATAGCTTATTGGTTAGAGCGATGAGGTGCGTACTCGGAAGGCTCAGGTTCGTATCCGGGTAGCGTCGAAAACAACTTTTTGATAATTTATCCCGGACAAATCAATTTTTTGATAATTTATCCACACAATCAATTATTTATTTAGTCGCTTAGCCAGATGAAATCTACCACGACATTGTCTAGTGTATCTTACTACTCTAGTCCTTAATAAATGGATACAAGTTCGAAACCCACTGATCACAGTCAAGTCAGTAACATATAAGTCTGGGTGTTACAAGAAGACAGGTTCTGATCCTGTCAGCGTCAAAAAAAAAATTATTCGACATTTTTTTTTATTTAATTTTTTTTCAAAAAAAACATTGCCCTTACTTTAGGATAACATTATCCTGTGTTGTAGGGACGTTTTACAAACATAAATTTCACGCGGACAAAAACCCAGATGCGAAACAACTATCTGTGGGTCACACAAATAGTTGTCCCGTGTGGGAATCGAACCCACGACCCCCGACGCCGAAGCCAATACCTTGGCAACTGTGCCACGGAGTCATCAACATTAACTACTTAACCTCACATTGAGGTAAAACATATCCATCCTATTATATTAATGTTATGATTTAAAAAAGAAACTTGTTTCTTCTTCCGTGTGTACATAATTCGAACGTAAGGAACTATATAATGGATTTTAAAACCTTGTTTGATATCTATTTACAATATTTAGGGTACTTTATCAAGTAGAAATCTCAATTTTTAAACATGTAATCGGCGAAATGTAATTTATTCCATGCGTAAGGTGGCATGAAACTGTCTATAGATATAGTACGCCACGTATATGACTTAGTTTTATTTATCCATATCAAGATTGCCAAGTTAAGGTATGCCAGCTGGTTATATGATTATGATAGTTTTTACTATAGAGTAATAATTTTTTTTTTAAATATGACGTTCCAACAACGGAATAAATGTCTCAATGTACTATAATTATAAAAATTCGTACCATCCTTTTAGCTTTATTGTTGTATTTTCCTGACAAAACTCGCAGTTGTTACTGTTAATGAATCGGAATATAGTTATGATCAAAGTTATAATAAGTAAATATAATTAACAAGTCATTCATGCATTGCTTCATATTTAATCAATGATTAAAAATGTACAAAAGTATGCGATTGATGAGAAACTGATTGGATAGCGAATAGAAAATATGAACCCTTTCTATATATTAATTCGTCGTCTTATATGCAGAAATCATTTTGTGTACTGTTTTTATAGTTCTTTCTGAATCTTTCAGTCAAAATTTCGTCTCAATTCTTTGTGAAGGTGTTTATATTTAATGCATACCATGGTATAAATCTGCTCGTTAAAAGTGGAAAACTACCCATCTCAATTGATCCCCCCATAAAATTAAGGTCTTGGAAGTTTTGTTTTTCTTTTTAGTTATTGAAGTCAAAAGTAAACCAAATGATATAAAAGTTTCTGCGAGTTTTTTCATCGTGCATGACGGTTTAAAAGGTTTTGAAAGAAAATCTTTTTTTTATCTCCATTAAAAATCATCACTCTTGAGTAAGGACGGATAGCCAGATCTGAAACAATCTTTTTTGGTCATGTAAATACTTCATCCGATTGGGAATCGAATTCAGAGCTTGCGGCTCCGAAGCCAACTCGGCAACTGCAATAACCAAGCCCTCTAATTAAGAAACGGAGAAATCTGTAAACACTATCTTTTATTACGATTCAGGTATGGAAAATAATTCCTGTGTCACCGTAGTTTTTACAAAAATGTAAATACGAAAAGAAGTTAGTATGCCGACAGTTGGAATTACAATAGTTTTGTGTGAACCAACAACGTTTCGTGATGTTGCTATTTTCAGCATTATATCGCATTTACATATTGAACTATTCTATTCTTCATTTACGCTGCGTAAGATATATTTCATAGGATACATTTAATCATGTAATATAAACGTGTTGTTAATAATACTTATATAATTATTAAACATATTATGAGTAACGATGTTTATATTTACGTATTATACTCTTCTATCGTAAAAAAGAATTCCTTTATTTAGGCCGGGTAAGACATCTTGCATAGGATAAATCGAATCATGTAATATAAACGTTTTATTAATAATACCAATGGAATTATTAAAAATATTACAAGTAACGATATTTCTATTTCAATTCCCAGGAGTGGAAAGGAGAGCAAAGCTATTCTTGTACACTGTCTGAAATACGTACATGCGTCCAACCACAGGTTGACAGTAATTTTGTCAATGTCAAGTTAAACGACGACCAGTGGAAGACAGACGCTAAATTGCTCGATTGGCAGCTGTGGCAATTAGGAAATCGCCTCTGAAGCGATTGGCCAATTGATAGTCCACGGAAGCCTCGCTTCCGGCGCCCGATCAGCTCTAGCCAGCTGACTTAACAAGTTGTGGAGATGACGACTGTTCTCCCGATGACGCTGACGGGTTGGTATTAGTAATAGTGTGTTCAACCGACTTTAAAAATGGAGGAGATTCGATTGTATGTTTTTAGGGTTCTGTACCCAAAGGGTAAAACGGGACCCTATTACTAAGACTTCGCTGTCTGTCTGTCTGTCTGCATGTCTGTCCGTCTGCCACCAGGCTGTATCGTGAAGCGCGATAGTTAGACAGTTGAGATTTTCACACATGATGTATTTCTGTTGCCGCTATAAAAAATACTAAAAACAGAATAAAAAATATTCAAGCTGGGCTCCCATACAAAATACTTTTTTTTTTGCTGTTTTTATAGATCCGCGAGAACGACTCTCACTTGGCCGGTTTTTTGTGTCTGTTGCCTTAGAACGCCTTCGTTTGTGAGCCGATTTTAAGAAAATATTTTCGCATTGGCTTTGCTTTAATTCACACGTGGTCCCATAATAATTTCATTATTATTAAACATTGAACTTCGAAGATACACCGGGCAATTTCAAATCAAACCGAAAATGTAAAGTGACATATCTAAAGTCGGTTGTATTTTTTGTTAGTAAATTTTTACTTGTTATTTATTTCTTTACAATGAATCTATGTTAATCGTGTATCAAAGAAAAGTTATAAGATTTTTTATCATTTTGTCTTTTGAATAAATTGTGTATGGAACTTATACATAAAAATTTTCTCAGGGAGTTGCTGATTGTGGATTACATATTTTGCATGCCTCCGAGCCTAATGTGTTTAAATATTATTATGTATTCTTATATAAACTAATTAAACGATATTATTGCGTAATTTTATTATATACAAAATCGTATTTCCCCAATATATTTTTTTATAATGTTAATCTCTGTACTTAAGACGAAACATTAAATTTTTTAGAAAAAATGGAGGAAACATTATTCTTCGCTGCGGAAATCGAACCCACGTCAGCACGCCAAGCATTGCTAAAAATGCGAAAAACATTGTAGATAAATTACGTTGAGATTTTCGTGGGTAATAAGCCGTTTTAGTTTAGTGGTTAAGCGGTTTAAAATTCTATCTTTAGATTTGGTTACCAGCGATAGGTATTTGACTTTAGCGCCATGATTTTAACATCAAAATTCCAGTAACCAAATCTACAGATAGTGTTACTAGCGATAGGTAAGTATTTGACATTAGCCATGATATTAACGTCAAAATTCTATCTCCAGTAAGCAAATCCATAGATAGGTATTAAACCGGCTGTTAGCCGCCTGGGCGCGAATCCACGCGAATCAAGGCAATCTATAATAATCAGCATGAATGACATAAAGGCCCTTCCCGTGGGAGGGATTGAGGTACATTACATATTGCTGTCATAGTTGTTTAAATTATTAATTTTGTTTCAATCTGTATGCATGATATATGCTGTAATGTTTGCGGGATATAAGGAGTATAGAATTAAATTTCACTACGGGGAAATTAATGAATTATGAAATACTTTATTTTATAAAGTATTTGGTTCGTTATTGATTTTCAGTAATATTTTTGATATAATTAATACAGAGCTGTAGAGTTTCAGTGCGGATACTGATATTCTATTCTAGTGTTAATACAGTATTCGCGTAGTGTTCAGTAGTACCGATATGAGGTTGCCTATCGACAATGTATTTTCCCCATCAGTTATCGTTTCTAATAGCTATATTAGCAGCTAACTAATCTTATTAGCAATGGCACAACCAGAAATAAGGCCACGGTAAGATTTTTAAGTACCCTAATATTAACAGAGAGGAGGCGTTTACAAATCAGTAAACACACTCGTATGTGTTTTGCTTCTATTCACAATGGGAT